ACCAGCATTCTGCTCTGTTCCTCTGCGTTTGCCAATTTTAGATTCTACATATATGTGAGATGACATGATATTTGTCCTTCTCTGTCTGACTTATTTCACTAAGCATAATGCCCTCAAGGTCCATGCTTGGGGAGCTTTTTAAATACACCAGTGTCGGGGCCTCATCCCCTAGAGATTCTAACGTAATTGGTCTAAGGTGTGTTAGAGCTTCAGTAATGTTTAAGGCCTCTCTCAGTCATTCGAGTATTTGCCCAAGCTTGAGAGGTACTGCTCTAAACTGTGCCATCAGGTTAATGAGTAGATTTGAGGTCCATTTTATTACCTTTCTGTAGAAAAAGCAAAAAACTGATGGGATGAGGTGCAAAGTCAGGTCAGCACTCAAGGCCCACACACGTATCACCTAGTGGCATACTCCTAGGTGTGAAAGAACACGTTCTATAAACTGCAGGCTTTTGAAAACCAGGTGTCAACAGGAGACTTGTCTCTAGACTGACCAGCCGGAATCTTCCTATTTGGAGGGGCATTCTTTTCACTGTCTTTCCAAAATGCTAGGCTGGACTCGACACCAAAAAGCATGAGCAATCATTTCCTCTTCAAGTCGCTTCCAGCCTTCACAGCAAGATGCATACCTCAGGTGCGTGCTAGGCTTCAACAGGAGTGACCTTTGCCGGGAGCAGTGGGTAGCTTATGGCCAACGTGGCTTGAGTTATACATAACTAGAAATTACTAGCGTCTCTTTGTTTTCACTGTATTTACTTTTTTTATTATTACCTCCTCTTTATGGCAAGAGACAATGGCTATTTACCTAAAACTGTAGTATGTTTCCTTTTTAAACTGAATAAAAGTTTCAGTTATATAGAATGAATTAAGTCCTAGATATCTACCATACACCCCAGTGTCTATAGTTAACAATACTATGTTGAATACTTAAAATTTTGCTGAGTGGGTGGATCTTGTGTAAAATGTTCTTACCACAAAAAAAGGAATTAAAAATGGTGGGAGGAAACTTTTGAAGGTGATGCATATGTTTATGGCATTGATGGTGGCATTGGTTTCATGGGTGTATAATTAGTACCAAACTCATCCAGTGGTATACACTAGATATGTATGTATTTTGTATGCCAATCTCACCTCAATAAAGTGGTTTATAAAAAAGAAAAAAAAAGAAGTCAGAACTCTTGGGTTTGAGCCTTAATGTATCAACTTAGTGTCGGCTACTTTAAAACGCAACCAGAGGTGTACCAAATGAAAATGAATCTCAACTGAAAATTGAAAAAAAATTAGGTAAAAGAATGAATCATATGTTTAAAGTAGTACATAATTATCCATAACGGTGCAGGTGGTGTGCTATGTCAAGAGAAAACAGATACGGAAATGCCCTCTTGTCCAAACCCTTTTCCACCACTCCGTCCCAAAGACAAGGAACTCCAAATGACTGAGGTGAGAACACACTGAAAATGTGAGAAGGGAAAGCTACCTTTCCCCAAATCACCCAGGCAACAGTGCCCTGCTACAAGGCACCCATAGTGCGACACATGTCCACACGTGACAGCCCCTCACACCCACCCTGGCCAGACCCTGAGGCACTAAAGTTGTAGCACTTGCTGTTCTTGGGGTCCCATGGACAGTCTCCAGCGGGCAGGAGCCCGTTCACTGATCTTGCAGCCTTCAGAGTCATTTACAAAATATCTACCCCAAATACTTGCAGACTATTTGGATTTTGGATCAAATCTTTTAAAATATGAAAGATCGGCGTGCCTTTGGAATACCTTTGTGTGTGTGTGTGTGCATGCATGTGATTAGTTATTCAATCAAATACCATCTTCTTGCCCATCCACAACATATAATAAAACACAGAATTACCCACAAGTTGGTAAAATATATTTTATTTGTTCATAAAAAGAAATAGTATGAATTACCAGAATTTCATTTTCCTAGAAACATCTTTCTCTGTGTAAAATTAATTTGTGTTATACATAGGACAAAATACTTGATTTAATTTTTTTTTCTTTTTGCACATATTGGTTATTCTAACATCCAGGTTATAGAGGACACACTGCTAGAATGTGCAGTATTCCAGATTACTGGGCTGAATGAAACTCAGTCATAAATTAATGTTACAAGAGTGAGGAAAAAAAAATCTAACCACACCTTGAAGTTTTACTGACCATCTTTCTTGATCAACTGAAAAGAAAAAGGACATTGACTTCCATGTCAGCATTTTAGACACTATGCGTTTCTAGTTTAGCGGAACCTTCCATTTTCCCTTCTCATGAAAATATCCTGGTAGGATCTGAAACTGTGTTTCTCCAAAGGCCTATAATGTACCTGTCACTCAAAATGACTTCGTAGGAGGATCCCATGAAGAACACAACTTTTCTTCCTTCATCTTCCAATTAAACGTTTATGATGCAGTTACTACACATAAACACCCTTCCAGGTACCACTTACCAAGTACGAACACCTCAAAGACAGCGTGGGCTCGACAGGAACAATAACAACCTCCAAATTTTTTGTTAACCTTTTTGTTTGTTTTTAAACAAACTGAGCGGAATAAAGTACCCCATGAATATCAGAGCTTTTCCTGTAATGCGGAAGAAAACCAAAACGTGTTAGGACAAATTGCCAACAGAAATGGTGTTTGTCTTCTAGCAGCTAAAAGGTTAAGTCGGTGGCCGTGCAGATGGCTAGAACAGGAAGAAAGTCAAGGCCCAATTTGATGTATTGCCCAGCTTCTCCAGGAGGAAGACACGTGTGCCCTGTAATAAGTATCATGCGATGGGGTGTAACCTTGGGGCCGATGCTGAGTCAGGAGCCGTCAGGAACTGTAAGCCGTCAGACTCCTCGGAAGAGATGCACAGGAAGTCTGATTTATTTGTCTTCCACAGAAAAACTCGCTCTAGTCCTTCAGTGCTAATTATCGACATCTGTTTGGATTCAAGGATTTGACCCAGAATAGAATCTTGACTCGCTTCAGTGTTCATGACTGAATGACCCTCCTTCTCTCTGAGGATTTCCTGTTTCAGTTTTAAGGCAGGGAATAAACAACTTAATCGAAAATGGTCCAGCTTAGAAAGGGAAGTAAGGCCCTGGAGGGGAGGGAAAAGTTCATGTGCGTTTCCCCACTGCTTCGTGGCAAACCCTTCTCTGAACTTTTTTTGCAAGTTGACATCACGCACCATGTCAGAGCACGAGAGTGGACAGAAAGCGGACAGGGCAGGATCAGGTGGCAGAAGTGGGCTGGCTTTGACTTTAGGCGATGTTATGCTGTAATGGAAAAGAGGTGTTCCCAGTTTTATTTCTAATAAGCCTTCTGATTGGAGAAATGCACGATCAGTTAGCACCCTTCTGAAGAAGTCTTTGACACCCAAGCAGCAAGAGGGAAGAGCCACGCCATGATCATGGGCATTCCCCTAAGTGCAGGTTGTACACGGCTTGGTAGAGACAGTAACAAAGCTATGAAATGCACACAGCATCTCAGGAATGCACAGAGCTCCCGCCTCCAGTCCCCGTGCGCCCATCCTCCTATACCTTAGCTTTGCAGCTAAGCACGAACTAGCTACGTCGGGGCTAAAACTCGTGGGCAAAGACAGACCAGATTATCAATAAGACATCCCTTAAAGACCAGTGTTTTGTTTCACTGGCGAGTGAGTTATCCCATAGAACATACCAAAGTGTCCTTTGTAAATATCACAACCCGACCATTTTGACAATATCTTCCCATATATTCCTTACTGAAAGTATAACACAAATGACAATTCTTTGATATTGCTACACGGTTACCCAACTGCCACTAGCCGGTCATCACAAATGACCCCTCCAGTGCCCCCTCCACGAAGAGGTAGGGGAGAGCATTCTGCATCAGAGGCAACAGTCCTGGCACCCCTTCTGCCAGGGCCTGGCTAAAACAAGGGACAGCAGCACAGGCTCGAGCGCTTATAGGCAACATGGGCCAGCGTTCCCAGGCTCTTTTTACAAGAGCGTCTCCTGGTTCTCGCTGTTTGGCTGCTGGCTACAGACCGCGTTGTCTTGAGATGAGCTAGGAATTCCAGGGAGGGGAGTTCCAGACACCAAACAGGGGCTGGCTCTGCACCTAGCGGCACCTTGGTAGACTCAGATGGCGTAGGATGAACCTGGCCCCTGCAGGTCTCGACACCCGGCACCCTTGGTTCGATCCGGTGGTTCTGCTAGCCTAAGGGATTCTTTGGTGTGTCAAAGCAGAGCCGTCTGCCTGGAGAACGGAACACGATGCATTCGCATGCAAATTAGAAGGGATCGTCTTTATGTCTAAAGCAGCACCCGAGCATCTCAGACACGGGACCTGCAGAAGCGGGGACTGATATTTGCATACACTTCAAGCCGGTTACTGAACCAGGGATGGGGCAGAAGATGAGGCGGAATCAAAAGGTAAAGTCAAGGGCCCTGACAGGCAGACTCTAAAAGGATGTGGATGTCCCTGCCAAGGTAGTGATTCCCCCGTGTGCTGAGCGGACTTGGGGGAAAAACCTAGCGCTGTGGTATGGAGTCTACGCCCTTGGATGTGTCAGCACGTCAGCGAGGAAGCTGCTATGTGAAGGTCTGGCAGCTCAGAGCTCCCAGAGGTACCCAGGCAGGAAGGGAGATGGAAGCTTCCATATGAGGAGGTGGGCAAGTGCATCCAGACAGCGATCGAAGGCTGCATACCCGTAACAACAAAAATCTCAAGTTGTGCTTTTCTTCTTTTTAAATACAATGGGTAGAAAGAAAGAAAGAAAAAAAAAAAAAAAAAAAGGAAGCACCATCCATTATGAAGACAAGAAGAAAATATTAGAAACACTTTGGAATGTTAACAGGTTCTGTTACTCTCTAAAGAGCGTGGCTAGGCAGCTTAGTGAATTAATTGCTCATGAATTAAAAATAAATTATTATAAAATAGATTTCTGTACATTTTACATACATATAATCTCTCTCAATATTTCCTAAGCCCCGGGTGGGGAGGGGGGCGGGGCGGGAGGGTCTGATCAGTCCCAGCCGAAGTCGTGGCCCGTCATCTGGTAGAACTTGCGGTTGAAGGGCCGGTAGAAGTCGCGCAGCCGCCGCAGGACCTGGCCGTCGATCTCGGGGTGGGGTCTGCCCTTGGTCTTGCCCAGGCAGTGAGGGCGGCCGCTGCCCTCGGCCTTCTTGAGGCAGGGGAAGCCCTTGGTCTGGTTGAAATAGAAGTGCTTGTCGGAGATGATGCGCTTGAGGCCCAGGAAGTCCTGCACGCGGCCCAGCTCGCCGGCCGGGTCGCGCACCAGCCGCTCGCCGCTCACGAAGAGCAGCTGGCGGGCGGGGAAGTGACGCAGCCAGCGCTCCAGGTGCTCGGCGTACAGGCCGATCTGGATGGCGCTCCACGCCCGGTCCACGAGGCCCGCCGTCCGGTTCCTGAAGGCCAGGCTCTCGAAGCTGGGGATGTCGGGCCGCTTGGACAGCGTCTGCGTGTAGTCCGAGACGGCCCTGGTCACCGGGTCCCGCACCACCACCAGGAGCTTGGTGTCCTTGGACATGGCCGAGATGCGCGCGGGCGCCTCGCGCGTCACAAAGTAGCTGGGCGTCTTCTCCATGGTGATCTGCCCCTCCAGGGTCCTCGGCATCAGGTCCCTGAGCGGAGCAGAAAGGCACGTTAGGGCCTGAAAACTGAGCGCCTTCCCCTGATTGCCACCGCGAGCTCCTTCCCAGCACAGGGAGGGTCTTACAGACCCGGAGCCTGAGTTGAGGTACCCACTGCTCCGCTTACTAGATGTGTGTGACCGTGATCGCGGACAAAGCGGCACAGACGCAAGGCTGTGCACCCCTGCTTCCTCGCGGATGTACTTAATGGGAAATAATAACACTACCGATCTCCCATGGTGGTTGTGATGATTAAACGTATTAATATACCTCAACAGCTTAGAAAAGTGCCTGGCATAGGCACGGAGACTTGTATGATATCTTTCTTAGCATAATTTAAACATAACTACGTAGGCAAAACTGCTATAACCTACAGGAAGGATAGGACATGACATTTGGACCAAAAAGCAGTTCTGTGTGGTGATTAGCACTAAAAATCACAGGAATCAATGATGTAAGACTGCGCCTGACTTGCTCCCTGAGTTTCAGCATCCGAATATGTGAAACGGGAATGATTTCCACCCACTGCATTCAGTTGTTGCGGGGTTTGTACAATGGAAGCATTTAGCTTAACATTTAAGCACTGTGGGCTTGGACATCAGACCACCTGGGTTCAAATCCCAGCTCGGTCACTTATAAGCTGTCTCATTTTCAGCAACTTACTTTCTGGCCTTCTCTCCTCAGCTGTAAGAATGAAGATGATAATACCAACCTTATGGGAGTTTAATGAGCATTAAGACAATTAATGATCACAATATGCTTTGAACGTGCCTGGCATACGTTATATATTCGATATTCACTAGCTGCGGCTACTACTCCATTATTATGATCATTATGACCGTGTTCAGTACACAGTTTATAGCACACAGTAGGACCATGCTGAACATGCATGTGTACACGTTGGTGTGTGTACATCAGAAGGAGATGTGTTACCTAATCGGACACTAAGTAGCGGTCACAGATGTACAATCTTCCATTTGCTATGGGATAGAGATTTCTGATTGATTCCAACCTGGGCCCAGGAATTGGAAAAAAGACAACTTCCACATCATTTTTGACCAAATATTTACCTCTCAGTAGGACATTCTGAACTTCCAGCTTCAAGCCATCCCTAATCTACTGAGACCAAAATCCCTCTTGGGAGACATTTATAGAAATGACGATATAAACTCTATTGCAAGAGGCGGGAAGGGCAACGGGCTCCTCCTTCATAGCTAGCTAGAGGAAGCATGCTTCTCCCCGAAGGACTGCCTTGCAGCCCTGCAGCTGCCCCCGGCTTAAGCTAAAGCTGGATTGACCCACTTTGCCCATTAACCACTTAGACAAACGTAGCCGTGTCATCAGGCTAACGTGATGAAGGATTAAAGAGGGGCCCGGCTCTCAACTTATTTTGCATTTCACTCAAAAGCAGGTCGAGTTTGATCAAGTCCGAGTTGTTTCCAGTGTTCAGCCACTTGTACCTAGACTGAATCTACAAGAAAGGGTTTAATATTCAGAATCCAAGTGCTATACCGCTATGACTGAAGGAAACCCAACCCGCCAAGTTCTCCAGGGCCAGGGCAGATGGAGTGGGTTTAGGGTCTGTCTTCAGAGGGTCTAAACGCGTAGGAACTTTGAATGAACCAGAGAAGTTCTAAAAGCCTTATAATTCTGACGTTCTCCAGTAGCAAAAGTTGCCCTAATTTTCTTTTTTCTGCTTCTTTTCTTTCTTCAGATGGCACGCCTCCTCCCAGGGTCCAGCAAGTGAACTTATTGTTTGAACTGGCAAATTACACAACAATAAAGAGGAAGGTTATTGAAATGGATGTAACCCAACGCACTACAGCTGAACAGAGGCCAAGACATTGACACAAAGCAGATGATGGAAGTGAATGAACTTGAACTTCAGAGAGGGGACAGGCTGCAAGCCACATTGGGTTGGGGTGGGCCCATCTCCCCCTTGGATTGAGGAAAGCTAGGAAGAGTCAGGAAAACATCTGGCCGGCCCCCTGTTTCCCTTTCCTGGGGGAGAATGACCTCTTGCTTGGTTACAGAAATACCCCACATATGCACACTATTATAAATAAAATAGATAACCAACAAGGACCTAGTGCAGAGCACAGGGAACTCTACTCAATATTTTGTAATAACCTATAAGGGAAAAGAATCTGAAAAAGAATATAGATAGATAGATATAGATATATGTATAAGCGAGTCACTGTGCTGTAATGTGAAACTAACACAATGTCGTGAATCAACTTTACCCACCCCCCCCCCAAAATACCCGCACGTTTCCTGACCTCCAACAGCAATCTTTTTTCTTAATTTTAAAAATTTTTTTTTTTTTTTTTTTTTTTGCGCTACGCGGGCCTCTCACTGTTGTGGCCTCTCCCGTTGTGGAGCACAGGCTCCGGACGCGCAGGCTCAGCGGCCATGGCTCACGGGCCCAGCCGCTCCGCGGCATGTGGGATCCTCCCGGACCGGGGCACGAACCCGCGTCCCCTGCATCGGCAGGCGGACTCTCAACCACTGCGCCACCAGGGAAGCCCTAAAAATCTACTTTTTAACCTACATACAGTAAACAATCATTCTTGGTGTCCAGTTCCATGACTTCGGACACATACATAGAAATCTTTAACAACCATCAGGATCCAGACCGGTTCTATCACTCCCAAATCTTCCCCTTGTGCTGCCCCTTTCCAACTAAGAGCTTAAAGCAAACTCCTTCCACAAGGCACATCCCCTTACAAATAGCCCGAGGCTGCCCAAATCCTTGTTTGGATACCCTTGGGAGGAAAATCTTGATTGAAAAGAGAAAATGGTCAATAGAGACTTAGACATTTTGACATCACAGATCTATTTACTGTTGCTTTAAAAAAAAAAAAAAAAAAAGAAGCTAAAAGTTTTCATGAGGGTGAACATCCCTGGCCACATGCCTGCCTTTCCAGGCCTCAGCCTCCTGGTCTGTGAATTAGCACCGAAGAAGAGGTCGCATTCTGATAAACTGCTCTGAGGACGATCCCATTGTGGTGTCAGGTTGGTAACCGGCCAGGAAGCCGAAATGCCGCATCACTTTTAGCTGTTCCCAAAGCCCACGTCCAGCCCCTGAGAATGCAAAAAACAACAGAGCAGCCAGGAGAAACCTTTACACACAGAAGAATCAGGATTTCTCCTCCCCACCCTGGAAACAACTAAATAAATAAACCTCCACAGTCCGAAATCCAAGTGGGGAATAAGGATGCCCGCCCCCCCTTTTTTTGAGCAGCTGATAAACCCGCAATTATCAGCAGCAAAACTCAAAAACGCTGGGATCCCCAGAGATGCAGGGAGAGGTGGGGCTGAATAGGTAGAGCACAGAAGATTTTTAGGGCGGTGAAAATACCGAGTGATACCGTCATGATGGATACGTGTCATTATGCGTTTGTCAAGCCCACAGAACAGACATCTCCAAGGGTGGGCCCTGCTGTATGTAAACTCTGGACTTGGGGCGATGATGACTGATGTGTCAGTGGAAGCTCATCGTAACCAGTGGACCACTCTGATGGGGGAAGGCTGTGCTTCAGGGGGAGCAGGAGACCTATGGGAATGTGGTTGAACCCCAAATTCACGCGCCGGTGCTTGGTTTCTGGAACTTTGAGCTTTCTGCTTGATTTTGCTGTGGCCCTAAAACTGCTCTAAAAAATAAATAAATAAAATCTGCTTTAAAAAAAACCAAAAAACAAAACAGCAACCCCGACAACTCTGAGATCCCTTCTCTCCTTGGCTTCCTGTCTGTGAAGGATGGTTTCCTCCTTGGGAAGAATGGGGTCGCACACCCTTGCACCCTCAGCCCGGGCCTCAAGCGCAGGTGCAGCCCGCTCATCGGGATCCTTTCCTAACCCTCACCTTCCTCTGCGGCTCCAGTCGAGGGCTCTCCCTGGGATGCTGGGATCACGGCACCTGTGACCACTCACGAAAAAAGAAAACCCTTTCCTCCCAGGGAACACTGAGGGCTGTCAAAGGTAGCACATCTTAACCTGTGACAGGTAAAATCAGGGACTCAACAGCCAACTTCCTGCCTTGAAAATACATGCCAGAAAAACTGAGAAAACGAACAAAAAATAACAAGTCTTCTTTTATGAAAGGATGCCCTTGGGTTCCTGGGATCTGACTGCTCGCCTGCCCAAGCCCCTCCCCCTCACCCTTTCCTCCTCCAGAGGCCTGGCCCACCCTGCCTGGTCCCCAGGGAAGGCAGTTAGGCTGAGGTTAGCTGAGTGCGTCAATCTCCCCATCACAGAGGCCCAGGAAGCACTCAGCTGGCTAACTTGACAAGGGCAGAGGGGCAGCTGGGGGGGGTCGCAGGGAGGGGACGTTGCCAAGGAGCAAACTGCAAAGCTGCCGACAGTCCCGAAGGTGACAGATACTGGCAGGGTCGGGGGCGAGGAGAGGGCACATGTCCCCAGAAGCTAGCGGGTGCTCTGGAGTCCCCAGGGTCATTAGAGACCTAATCAGAGGGGTTTCTGTAGTGACAAGTGTGCAGGACGCTGGTGTCACCTTTTCTGAAGGCGGCCGTGCTCACCATGATACCACCGAGGCTGCACGGCTGTCACCTCTTCTGAAGGCGGCTGTGGCTCACCACGATACCACCGATGCCGCACGGCTGTCACCTTTTCTTTTCTTTTCTTTTTTTTAAAATTTATTTATTTATTTTTGGCTGTGTTGGGTCTTCGTTTCTGTGCGAGGGCTTTCTCTAGTTGTGGCGAGCAGGGGCCACTCTTCATCACAGTGCGCGGGCCTCTCGCTGTCGCGGCCTCTCTTGTTGCGGAGCAGGCTCAGTAGTTGTGGCTCACGGGCCTAGCTGCTCCGCGGCATGTGGGATCTTCCCAGACCAGGGCTCGAACCCGTGTACCCTGCATCGGCAGGCGGACTCTCAACCACTGTGCCACCAGGGAAGCCCTGTCACCTTTTCTGAAGGCGGCCGTGCTCAGCACGATACCACCGAGGCCGCACGGCTGTCACCTCTTCTGAAGGCC